CGTGACAATAGATTTGGCTGGCACGCATATTTATGGCATGGGAAAGGGAAGGTACATAAAAGTTTTTATAACCATATAATTTTGAAATCACTAATGAGTGTATGGGAGAGATATAAAGATTTGTTAGAACAGCAGCCCCCTTGGTGGCTTTCACCACATGAAGCTTTACTGCTCAAACCACTTAGAAAGAAAGGAAAGTGGCTTACGTATGCTGATTTGTTAAAGGATCAAGGAAAATGGAAACGAAGAGATTACGAGGAAATAAAAGACCACTTTCAGAGTCGGTTACACTATCGGCAACTACATGAAATATACAAAGAAGACAATAAGAAAGGATTTAGCTACACGACATCTAGATTTCAAAAGTAAGTCATAGAAGGGAAAGTGAAGTTGCTGGAAGGTGCATATAGTATTCTGCTAGAATGGGAAACAAAAGATGAAGAGGTGAAATCAGTCATGATTAAATGGGCACAAGATATAGGTCATAATATGTGGAAAGGGGGGGTTCTTTCTGGGGGGGAGGGAAAAATGGGGGGAATGAGGATGATGTGTTTTTTATAAATTGCTGTTGAAATTCCTAATAAAAAATATTCCCCCCCCCAAAAAAAGTTGAGAACCATGGGGCTATATAAATTCTAATCGGACTCAGTTTGAATTGGGCAAGTGTATCCAGACTGCAATTATCTTTTTGGTCCCTTAGGAACTGTGGGGTTAGGCTCTGCGATCCAGAGCCTGTGGAGTCTGGTACTCTTACGCTGCGACTCAGCTTCCTGGACTTGTAGCAGAGAAACACAGCTTTGTGCTTGTGTGTGTAAGCATGCAGAAAACAGCGTCTATACACAGCCACTTTCTAATCTAAGCAGCTTTATTTATGTACAGAAGCAAAAATAAATCATCCGTTCTGGGAGCGGCAGATATCGCTACTCCCTTCGTCTTGGTCAGAAAACGAAAGCAGAAAGACAAATAACAGATCCCGGATGTAGGGATCCCCACCCCTCAGTGGGCACAACACAAGACTCTGAGCTGTTTTAACCCTGTAAGCTCTGATTCTCCTCACACCCCCTCTTGTCCTGCACTGCTGGGGCTCGTAAGCATCAACACTTACCCCCAAAACAACCCTGCACAGAATTCACTGTGCCTCTGGAAACTCAAAGGTTTAGTAAACCCATCTGCCAGATTCTGCTGGCTTGGACAGTACTTCAGCATCACCAAGCCTGACTGGACATTCTGACACACATTGTGGAAATGTATGTCCAAATGTTTGGTTCTGGCCTTAAACTGCCCAGACTCTGCCAACTTCAGACAGGGTTGATTATCCTCCCAAACAGTGACGGGCAAACAACAATCCCCGCAGATTTCTTGGACCAAACACGTGTAAAACTCTAGTTCTCTGCAAAGCTCTGACAACGCACTGAATTCAGCTTCAGTAGAGGAAAGCGCAATGAGACTCTGCTTTTGGGACTTCCACCCAACTAGAGTGTCCCCAAACTTTATTCCCATCCCAGGCACGGACTTCCTGTCTTCGCCCAGTCGCTATCAGTTCAGCATGTAAACTTGGTTTCACCCTTAGCTGACAGTTTGAGACAGAAATCTTTGGTATCCTGCAGGTAACCCAGCATCCTCTTGATATCATTCCAGGCACTCACACTTGGCCTTGTAGCTTCCCTGCTGAGCAGATTGGTAGCAAATGCTACCGTATGTCTGGTCTGCTCCACTGGGAGAGATACAGCAAACCACCCAGAGCTGACTGAAAGATCTGTGTTTTCGAACTCGGCACATTCCCCTAGCTGACTGTCTTTCACGTAGCTTGTCTCCATGGGTGTACTGACCCCTGCACATTCAGACATTCTCAACTTCTCAAGCAACTGCTCAATCTGGCCTTTCTGACTGAGCAAGATGCTTCCTTCCTGGGACCTATCTATCTGGACACCTAGGTAAACTTTCACTGGACCTAGGTTTTTGAGTTGGAAACGTTTTCCAAGCTCTGTGGCAAACCCTTGAACCTGTTTCCCTGTCTTTGCCACATAGATTGTATCATCCACAAAAATCAAGACCACCTCTTGTGACTCTCCTGACACTTTCAGGTACAGGCAGCTATCAGCAAGACTCCTTTTGAAACCCATGCTCTCTAAGGCTTCATTCAGACACAAGTTCCAGTTCCTGGCCGATTGCTTCAGACCGTAAATGGACTTATGAAGCTTCCACACTGCATCTGGCCTATTGCTCTCAAGCCCTGGAGGAGGATGCATGTACAGATCCTCCTGGAGGTCTGAGTTCAAATAGGCTACATCCACATCAAAGTGATGCACCTGATGACCTCTCTGTGCAGCAATGGCTAAGAGCATGCACAGACTTTCAGTTCTGGAAGTAGGAGCATACACCTCAGTGTAAAGCAGCTGTTCCACTGCGTAAACCCTCTGGCTACCAGCCTAGCCTTGTACTGCGGTTCTCCAGTTGCTGTGGGTTTAAGACAGTAAACCCGGCGGCTGCTCACGGCCTGCTTGCCTGCTGGCAGCGTCGTGATGCAGAACACACCTAGAGACTCCATTGAGTTCATTTCCTTCTGCATTGCCTCTTGCCACTTCCTGGCTTCCTCTTCAGGCAACTTCTGAACTTCCTCAAAACTCTCTGGTTCACACTGAGCCACACCAATCCACACGCTAATGACCTCAAACCTTTCAGGTGGTATTCCTTTAGTAGTGTGAGCTGAACACCCCAGCACAACCTCAGGTACCCCCTCTGACCCACTAGGGCCAACTAGTGTGTCCTTGCTCTCAGATAACTCCCCCTCTGACTTACTGCGCCTTCTGGATTTCTCAACTGGACTTGTGGGTGAGGAGGAGCACTCTTTGGCTCTAGCTTAACAGCTTTAGGAGATGCCCTTTCCTGTTCCTGCTCTGGGTTGGGACTCTGAGCCTCAGCAGCAGGATCAGTTTCTACCTTTCCTTCATCAGCAGAGTCAAGCAGACTCTCTGAAAGAATGTCTGGATTCCCATGTATGCATTTCCACCCACGCTGTTCACAGAACTCAGCACTCCTGCTGACTAGAATCCTAGACTGATTGCCTTCTGGATAGGCAAATCTCCACCACTTGGTCCCTGGCTCATACCCACAAAGGATCATTCTCTGGGACCTAGGGCCACCCTTTCTGTGTTTGGCACAAGGACCCAAGCCTCACATCCAAACACAAAGAAGAAATGCACCTTGGGCTTCTTGCTGTGCAGCAGAAAATAGGGCGTGTCCCCTACTACAGAACTGTAAGAACGGTTCAGAGTGAACGATGTAGATTTCCACGCTTCCACCCAAAACCGCTGGAGCAACCCTGTGTCAAGGAGCATGGCTTCGGTTGCCTCCTGCAGCATTCTCTACCTGCATTCTGCAACTCCATTCTCCTGAGGAGAATTTGCTACAGTCAACCTGTGGCGTATGCCTTTCTGGAAGAAGTAGTTCTGCAACGCAGACCTGGTGAACTCTCCACCGCAATCTGATTGAAAGCTCTTGACCCGCAGTAAGAACAGTAGTTCTCACTGCCGTTATCCAGTCTTTCACCAAAGCAGCGGCCTCTCACAGAGAGAAAATCCACCCATTTCTGGAATCATCTTCCACCAGAGATAGCACAAATTTGGCTCCGCTCAGACTGGCAACTGGCATAGGGCCCCAAAGGTCTGCATGGACTAGCTCAAAAGGTTTTGTGGTTACCCTGTCAGACCTAGGATAAGAGCACATTTGAACCTTGGCTTTCTTGAAGGCACCCTTCATTCCAGGTATTTGTCACATGCCTTCATCTTGCACCCCTCGGTGCACCCTGGGACCTTCTTCACGTACCCCCAGTTGATATGTGACATTCTCCGGTGCCAAACGCCATGATGGCACCCATCAGGAATGGGAAAGTTACCACACTGTGCTTGTGCATCCTCAGTGGGACCTTTACCTGCAATAGGCGTTTCTAGCACAGCCTGTCTTTGCACTCAACACTGACCAGTTGTCGCCCACCTCTGGAAATGGAATAAACATTATTTTCAAAACACACTTTGAACCCAACATGGACAAGAGAGGAAACAGAAAACAAACAGCACTGCATCTCTGGAACGACATAGGCCTCAATCTCCGCCTGTAAAAAAGAACAATAAACAGAGCCAGACATAGCGCTTGGAACCATCTGCAAGAGTTACACTTCTTCCAGTTTTCACAGCCTTGCAGTTCCACAAAAAACCACTAGATAACGATGGCATGAGGTGGTGACTGGCCCCACTGTCAATCACCCAGCTCAGCACGTGGCCCTGGTCGCAGTTTTTCACTGTTGCCATAGCAGCAGCCAAATGATACTGTGAAGACATGTCATTTTCCTTGAGAACTTTTGAGGCTTCCCACGCTTGGCAGCTCCTGTTATCTGGTTGCCACAGAAAACAGCCTTGGAGACATCCTGTGGCTCCACTGGACAATTCCGAACCAGGTGGAATTCAGAGCCGCACCGGAAACGCATCGGGAAGAAAAAGCTTTCAGTTTCTTCACTTCTCCCTTCTCCCTTCACCCCCACTCTGGGCCTGCTCACCCTCCAGCTTTCTGCCTGTAATGCCTATAATGGCAGCAACTTTTTAAAAAAGTAACATTTTGAGCCCATAGTTCAATTTCCCAGCAGCTCCCCTTGCCCCAGAGAACACTTCTAGCATTCCATCTCCTCTACCTGTGGCATTGTTCAGCAGTGGGAAAAGTGACCTCTTCACACCGGATGTCCATTTGGTATGGCCCTTTCCAGGTTTTTGCCTGCTCATTGTGTTTGTCTTTCATTTGTTCTCCTATGTGTGTTGCCAGTAGAAGCCACAATTCTGTGGGTACTCTAGGTGGTGCAGAAAGTTGGCAGCTATTCCCTACACCAACAGGTCACAGGATGGTTACAACATAAAAAAACAAAATAAAAACACAAAACACCACATTTTAAAAGGGCATTAAATGTCAATCAGCCAAAGGCCTGGTTAAAAAAGTGTGGATTTGCCTGGCTCCTAAATCTGTATAATGGTTTTTCCAACCTTTGTATGGATTCTTTGATGGGAAGTGAGATTCTGACTTTGACTGAAGCTCTTTCCACATTCCACACACTGATATGGTTTCTCCCCTGTATGAATTCTTTGATGTGAAGTGAGATTGTGGCTGTGACTGAAGCTCTTTCCACATTCCACACACTGATATGGTTTCTCCCCTGTATGAATTCTTTGATGGGAAGTGAGTTTGGAGTTCTGAGTGAAGCTCGTTCCACATTCCACACAATGATAGGGTTTCTCCCCTGTATGAATTCTCTGATGCTTAGTGAGATTGGAGCTCTGAGTGAAGCTCTTTCCACATTCCACACACTGATAGGGTTTCTCCCCTGTATGAATTCTTTGATGGGAAGTGAGCCTGTGGCTGTGACTGAAGCTCTTTCCGCATTCCACACACTGATAGGGTTTCTCCCCTGTATGAATTCTTCGATGGGAAGTGAGAGAGGATCTTTCAGGGAAGCTCTTTCCACATTCCACACACTGATAGGGTTTCTCCCCTGTATGAATTCTTTGATGGTAAGTGAGATTGGAGATCTGACTGAAGCTTGTTCCACATTCCACACACTGATAGGGTTTCTCCCCTGTATGAATTCTTTGATGGGAAGTGAGACTGTGGCTGTGACTGAAGCTCTTTCCGCATTCCACACACGGATAGGGTTTCTCCCCTGTATGAATTCTTTGATGGGAAGTGAGACTGTGGCTGTGACTGAAGCTCTTTCCGCATTCCACACACGGATAGGGTTTCTCCCCTGTATGAATTCTTCGATGTGAAGTGAGATCAGAGCTCTTCCTGAAGCTCTTTCCACATTCGACACACTGATAGGGTTTTTCCCCTGTATGAATTCTGTGATGGGAAGTGAGAGAGGAGCTCTGAATGAAGCTCTTTCCACATTCCACACACTGATAGGGTTTCTCCCCTGTATGAATTCTTCGATGATAAGTGAGAGAGGTGCTATCAGTGAAGCTCTTTCCACATTCCACACACTGATAGGGTTTCTCCCCTGTATGAATTCTTTGATGGGAAGTGAGATGGGAGCTCTGACTGAAGCTCTTTCCACATTCCACACACGAATAGGGTTTTTCCCCTGTATGAATTCTTTTATGGGAAGTGAGATTGGAGCTCTTCCTGAAGCTCTTTCCACATTCCACACACTGATAGGGTTTCTCCCCTTTATGAATTCTTTGATGGGAAGTGAGAGAGGAGCTCAGACTGAAGCTTTTTCCACATTCCATGCACTGATAGAGTTTCTTTCCAATGAGATTTTGTTGATGGGAAGTGGAATGGGAGCTCTGATTGCAGCTTTCTCCACACTCTAAATTTTTACGTGGCTTCTCCTCTCTCGGGATTTTATCGTGGTCACCTTTGTTCTCAATTTTCGATTCATTACAATCTGCAATGGAGACAAAAAGGGATTAGAGCCTCAGGAACAAATGGAGAAGAACTGAAGGAAGTTGGGCTTGTGTTCATTACCTGTGTTGGTTGTCATTAACCATCATATTTATTATTATGTTCTGAGTTGCTGAATGTTGGTTTGTTTAATATACAGTAGTGGTCAAAATTGGGGAAGACTTTTGGAAAAAAGTGTATTTCAGAGTTTTGATGGCTTATAACACCACTTCGTTTAGAGTAATATCATAAAATAATATATCAATGGAAAGATAATTTAACGAAGACTGCAATTCATCAAAGGTTGTTCAATTACCCATATTCTATCAAACATTATAGCCAAATAACCAGAAAAAGGAAGCAAAACTTGCTTAGGTTGACTTTTGTCAGTGTGTTATGTGATTGCTGTCAAGTTGGTTGGTTTTTTTTTTGTTCTTTCATTTAGTGAGGTTGTAAAACATAATTAAATTATAGAAATGGCACAAAGAGTTGACTGGTCACCCAGAAGCGATGTAAAATTGTAGTATTAAGTGAACAGGGCTACAGTTATGAAGAAATTAGATGAAAGATTGGGGAAAACTTAACCAAAGCTGGCATTTTGATATTATTGAAGAGGTATAAGGAGACTCAGCAACTATAAAATCAGACTGGTAAAGGCAGGAAAAGGTGCACAAAGGCAAGTGACGATCGAAGAATAGAGAGACTGTCCCTACATGACAGAAGAAAATCATTTTGGTGTATACAAGATGACATGGCGTGATGTAATGTGAAGTTGAGTGCAAGGACTGCTCTAAATGTTAGAATTCTAAGGAAAAAGCCATTGTTATCTCTCAAGCATGAGTTTGACCAAACTGCGGGAGGCAGTGGAAGACAGTAGGACCTGGCGTGCTCTGGTCCATGGGGTCACGAAGAGTCGTACACGACTAAACGACTAAATAAAATCTCTCAAGCAAAGGTTGAAAAGATTAAACCCATGTTAACTGGACAGCGGAACAATGGGACAATGTTTTTGGAGGGATGTGACCCAAATCTCCTTGTTTGGTAGTGATGGCATGAAATACACAAGGGGAAGAATCAGAGAAGATTTACATGCTACTTGCATTACACCAACCGTGAAACACCCAGATAGTGTGATGATCTGAGGTTGTATGGCAGCAAAAGGTGTGGGCAGAATTTTCGTCATTAATGGGAATGGAAATGCCCCCAAATAAAAAATGAAATACTTTAGCCCAAACTGAAGCCTTCCGCAGGTGATCTTTACTCAGATACTGAAGCATTTATATATATTTATATAAATATTTATTTATATATTTACTTTCTTTTTTTAAAAAAACAATTTTTATTAAGTTTCATATTACCGAATTAAACACATCAAACCAATTAGTCCAAATTATAACAATACGTATCATGTAATCCAATTATTTTCCAAATTATAAATTTTTGTGGGGGGTACCCATGCTTCTTGATCGGCAGGAGTCCAATCCTCGAATATTTTCTGCTGCTTTCATATTAAGAATGATATTTCCAGTCCCTTCTTCTCAATCTTTGTCGTTACTCATTTTCCTTTTCATTCACCTCCGAATTGCTCCGCAAGTGGGTTGAAAGAAACAGTCTTGTTTGTACTTCTGTGTGGGCTTTGTACTGCTCTCTCGTAAATCCCAATAATCCAGGCATTTCCGCTCGAGCAAGCAATTGCCATCTTGTTGTTCTGATGAAATACAGCCCAAAAGCTCGCTCTTTAACTTTCCCGACCTGTTGCATCGTAAATTAGTCTTTTTCCAGGAGAGCTGCCCCTTCCAGTTCACAATCTCATCGAAAGTAATAAATCTTTGGCTCGCCCTCCCCAAGACCAAACCTCCTGCAACACAGGTCTCATATCAAATCTCCATTCTAACTGTGTCACAAAGAGAGCCCTTCTTTCCAAATCCTTTACAGAGTAAAACCTTTAAATTCATATTATTCCCACACAGTTCCTTTTTAGTCCCATTTGCCAATTAGTTGCTGTGATGGATATTTTGAGAGGGAGGGTTATTAGTTAATCACATAGAGCAAAAAAAGATAAAAAGTCATTTCACCCCCTCTTTAGTTCCGTTGCACTCCAATCCACATACGAGCATGTCTGTAGTTCTTTGATGTAATCTTCCATCTTAGTCTTCTTCATTTCAGTGGTAAAATTGTTAGCAGATAAAAACCTCCTGCCTCTCTTGAAGCCTGTGCGTTATCTTTCACCATTTTTTTCCCTTTTAATTAACGCAACTAGTTTCGCTCCTGAAAGTAGCTTCGGAGGACTTCCGAGGCCCGCCGAGGGTTGTGCACCCAGTGCCTCACCCCCTCCTTCTTCCGAACTCGGGGGTGATTTATGGCAACAGTGGGTGAAAACTGCATCTCTCCCCCCCTGGAGAGATGAGGGAGACTGATTTACTCCCCATAATCAGCCTCTAATTACCTCGTGCGAGCTGGATAGATGTTAATATCCGCCATCTTCCAAGGCACCCCTAGCGGCCCCCTCCTACTTATATATTTATTTTCTATTTCAACAGGACTCAGCTCCATGTCCTGTTGCTGCTGTGTGAAAAAGGTGCTTTCAAGATAATCCTATTCCACTGCCGGAATGGCTTGGGAATAGCCCAAACATTAACCCAATCAGAAATCTATGGAGCCGACTAAAGAAAATTCTTTGTTAGAAGCAATCCAGCAATAAAGCCCAATTAACAGAGGCAATAATTCAATCTTGGTTTCACATTCTTACAGGTGCAGAACTAAAAATTTGGTTCACTTCATGGGAAAGCGTTGTAAGGCTGTAATTAAAGCTAAAGGTTACCAATGGTTACCAAAATTTTCACATTTTTTCTTTATGACTACTGTTCCAATGAATACTCCTTCATAAAAGTCATTACATTACATTCTTCATTAAATTATCTTTCCATTGATATATAATTTTATGGTATTACTCCACACAAAAGTGGTGTTATGAGCCATCAAACCTCAGAAATACACTTTTCACAAAAGGTTTCCACAATTTTGGCCTCCAGTATAAGTTGCTCATTTTAAGTTAATGTTCTTTTTATATGGGATCAGAATATTATTATTTATGTTTCATGTTCATATATGTGTTGGAAGCCACCCAGAGTGGCTGGGGCAACCCAGCCAGATGGGCAGGGTAGAAATAAAAATGACAGCTTTGTTCCGGAGCTGACAGAGGCTGGAATGTATGAAAGCAGGCAAAGAGAGATAAGGACACTGGAATGTGAGCTGGAATGTGAGAGGGAGGAGGGGCAGCCGAGTGGCAGAGCTTCAGAGAACAGAGAGCAGGCAGCAGATAACAAAGATCCACAAAATACCAATCTTAGCTCAGAGACAGAAGGGGAGAGGCCAGGAATAGCTAGCCCAAAAACTCGAAGGCGCGAAAAGGTCAGTGAGAGGAGGGGGAAAGAGCGGGAGCGAAAGGGTTTTTCCCCCTCTTGGAAGAAGAGGAAGGGGCGGAGTTTAGACTTGGCAACTGCAAACTTGAAGTCAGACACGGAGTGAAGGAGCTCCGGAGTGATTTATGTGTTTGAGCAATAAACCTGAGATAATTACTGCCAGTGTCTCGCTTCTGTGGGAGAGCCAAGCCATTACAAAAAATTATTATTATTACTACAGTGGTACCTGTTCTGGAAAAAAATAAGTTTGTAAACCGAGGTACCACTGTATCATCCTCATCCTCATCACTGCTACTGCTACCTGAGATTCAATAAGCCTAGCTCTTCTCTGGAATGAATTTTGTTTGGCCCAGTCATGACATCCCCTCCATCTCCATTGTCAGTCCTTGTTATGGCTTGGTCTCCCACAAACGTGAGACGACTCTGGCTGTTAATTATTTCAGATTTATTGCTGAAACAACAAACTTGGACGGAGCTCCTCTACTCATCGTCCTCCCCACAAGATGGAGTTGCTCGGACTGAGCTCCTCCCCCTTCCCCAGCACGGAAGCCCCCACCTTCTCTTCCAGTATCTTTAAATTTGGCAGAGAATGCTTCCTGCATTCCAGCGTCTGACTGACTCCTGTAGCTCTCACACAGCTGTCTGTCACTCTGTCTCTCTTTTTCTTCTCCCCTTTGTTCAGAGCTCAGATGACAGTTCCTCTCCCCCTCCTCTCTGCCTTCTGCTGCTAACTCTCCTCTCCCTAGGCCTGCTTATTCTCTGGCTGGCAGCACCTGAGCTTCGCTGCCAGTCGTCTCTTTGGTCAACCCAAGACTGACAGGAGCAAAAACAAAAACCGGAAGCTACTTAGCTTTCCTAACAATTCTGAAGCTGACGTTGAAGATGGCCTGGGAAGTTCACACCAGTCCAATCGCGGTAGAAAAAGGAATAATTTCAGGAAGGTTGTTCAAAGGAAAGACTGGGGGTGGGGGTGTTAGGTTCCCAGGTGTTATAGGGGGCGCTGTTGAGCTCTGTAAAAATAGATGAGATTGGTCCCATAGAGGTATTTTTTGAATTTCCAGGCAGATATGACGATACCACAGGGAGCCTTACCAAGAGAGGTCACGATCCCACGAGTCTCCTCCATGACGTCCTTATGCAGAGCTCTCTGGTCAGGATCCAGCAACACCCACTCCTCGTCCGTGAAACAAACAGCAACATCTTCAAAGCACACTGGATCCTAAATGAAAAAGGGAAATGTCCTCCTCTGAGACAGCAGAAATATGATCTGCTACACAATTCTCTGTTGTTTCCTTCCTGTACATTGCGATGTTGTTTCAATAGGATTGCTTTGCTGCACATTTTAAATATGGATGCTTATTTTAAGTTTTAATAATGGGTATTTGTCTTTGTGCAATAGGTGGTACTCCACATTCTGTTTTTCAAGTCATTTTGCTTACGCAAGCATTCCAGTTTCCCCAATGGAAGTATCGACTTTTCCCTCTCCTCTTGAGGTGTTCTGGGGAGTTCCCTCCCAATGCCCTACAGCCAAATTCAAGGGATTCATGGGGGCATGGAGAGGGGGAGAAATGGGGGGCAGGTCCCATTTTGCAGCCGATGGGGCCGGTTAGGTGAATCCAGGCCACTATTTGTTCTGATTTGTTCACTACGTAGAAACCGATTTTAGCATTCTATGATCAATCTAGAAATAAAATAAGCCTGTTTTGGATGGCCATCTGTCTTGGATGATCTAGCAGAGATTTCTGCAATAAACGGGGTCTCCTGGCTCTGAGAGACAAGCAGGGAGGGTGGCTTCTGGCATCCTTATCCTGACTCACCTCTGCCTCCCGACCTTCCTCTCCAACTTGCCTCCTTCCTCTTCTGCCTCTGATTCTGCACTGCATTCTGGCACAGAGCCTTCCAGCTCACAAAGCCCTGTAACCCCTTCAGCTTCTGACACCTCCTCTTCCCAGGCTTCTCCCTCTTCCCCCTCTGACCACCCATCCTTCTTCTACCTCCACTTCTTGGGCTCTCAGCCGTCTTCCCTTCCTGGTTCCCCGGCTGCTTCCTCCCACCATTCCTCTGTGCCCAACCAGTCCATGACACTGCTCCATCCCTCAGCCTCTGTCCCCACAAGGCAGCTTCCCCTGACCTGATCTGGTTCCACAGCCGCTGCTTCCCTTCTGTCCCCATGAAAAGGCGGATCAGGAGGTCTTGCCGGCATCCTTCTGCCATCTGCAAGAGAAAAAAGGTAAGCAGGACGCCAGGAGTGCCAGCTTCTCTCACAGGTGAAACAGGGCATCTCTAACTACACATGGGCCTTTGAGAAAGCCTTACCTACTGAGAGCATTTGGACATTTGTGCCCATTTCATATGTTTGTGGTGCAGAAATACATCTCCCCTCCTATGGACCCTTCTTCCCAACTGTCTCCCCCCAAAACAAGATGAAAAGAACCCCCAGATGAGTTGGAAAACAAACAGAATGAGACCAAACGGAGAAAACCACCTTCCTCCTTACCCAGTGGCCTCTCTCTGGTGTCCAACGGAGGCCTCTCTGCCTCACAGGAATCCAGGTCCATTTCTGCAAAGAGATCCTTTCCCTGAAAAAGAAACATGGATTAAAAACACAGAAAGGTGAGAAATATTAGAAAGAGAATGGCAAAAATTTGAAGGGTGTGAGATCTCATTCCATAGATGCTTTCCTAGAAAACGGATGGGTCATCAGCAGATCATTATGGGATGTTCTCTGTCTTGTTTGGAGCCCCTTGGGAGTATCCAGAGGAAAGTCTCTCTCACCTGCTTTCTCTCCTCTGCCTGACTCAGTAGGACACCTTCGGCCAGGGCCACCGCCTGGGAACTGCTCTCCACTCCGCATTCCCTCACCCAGCTCTCCATCTCCGGGGGAAGGACAGCCAGGAACTGCTCCAAGATCACCAGGTCCAGCATCTCCGCTTTCGTGTGCCTTTCTGGCTTCAGCCACTGATGGTCAAGGTGGTAGAGTCGGCTGCAAACCTCTCGGGGTCCTTTGGCCTCCTGGCAGCAGAACTGCCTCAACTGCTGGCTCTGCACCTCTGAGCATAGAGTGTCCTCCTCACCCAGGATCTTCTGCACTGGGTTTTCCCAGAATCCCCCACTGCTCCCAGTTTGGCTGGCATGGCCTCTTCCTGCTTCTGGGAGAGCTGAGTCTCGCTCATCCATTTGTGCGCTCAGGAAGCCTCTGAAAGATCGGAAGGAACCCTTTGGTCTTCTGCCAATTTCTGCCCTTCTAAATGAGAAGCTATAGCAAATCCTACGAAGCAAATACATTGTTCTGTTACAGAATTTGTGTGGGGGGAGGGGGAATGGTTCCCTGAGCAAGCATGGATGAGTCTTGCTGGGAACCAGGGCTGGACTGCACAGCATCCGAAACCATGAGCTATCTTTTTGAAAAGAAAGAGGAGGAAGAGGAGAAGAAAAAGTCTCTCGCCTTCTAGCAATGCAAAATGTGGAGGCAACTGAAGGGATTTCTGGGAGATTAATCAACCTGGTTTCTGCAGCCTTCCAGTCAATGCATGAAATCAGAACCGACTGACAAGGGAGTCATTTGTATTTTGTGAAAACGGATGCTTGGCTTTAGTGGGGGTCCTCATCCGGGGGTCCTCAGGAGTTGCTCCCCCACACTCTCCTGCTTCTGTCTCCTTTTCTTGCACTTGTACTCTCTGCCGCTCCCCAGACAGACTCCTGGGGTGGGGTCCCTTTTTCTTTGCTCAGAGGGCCAGGTATGTATCTGACCAACCCCCTGAGAGCCAAGTGAGCAGGCCAAAGACATCTCCTTTGAAATTTAGGTGGGTAATTTTTCATTTTAATATTATTATTCCTATTACTATTATTATTCTGTTAGATAGCTTAACACACACACAGCCATTGATGCCAAGGTCCCTGCAGGTTCGGTGAGTAGCGGCGCCAATTTCCGGCTGCTTTGCCAGCAACAATCCCTTTGGGACAGAGAGGATGTGGTCCTGGGATACCATGCTCTGGGTGCGAGGGGATTGCTGCAGTGGCCTCCGTGGGGAGCTGCCCTGGGAGACACTGGGAAACTGGTCTGCAATGCAGCAGCCAGAATATGGGCTGGGATCCCTCTCTTTGTTCCTGGCCTTCCTCTCCCACCTTTCCTTCCTCCCTCCCTCCCCGTTGTTCTGGGGGGGGGGGGGCTAGTCCACCTCCTAGTCCAGCTTTGGAAAACCATTTGCACATGTTTCCTCTGCTGTGCAATGAGGCTGAGCGATGTCACACAGAGTTAAAGTCCCAGGGACTCCTTTGTTTAAAGGGAGATTTTTTCCTGAAAGGGGGGGCGGAGGGCCAAATGAGTTTGGGATCCTCTGATCTCCAGGAAGGAGAGCGTGGCAGACCTGGCCCCTCCCTGATCAGGCCCCCCAGGCATCCTCCCCTGCTGCAGCCCTGGGACCCCCCCCCCCGTCTCCCCACTGCACCCTCTGGGGGGAGAGAGAGGAGACTCACCAGATCCCAGGAGGGGACAGCGAGGCAGCCCTTGCAGGAGAGACCCCAAAGCAAGGAAAGGACTGGGGAGGGAGGGGCCTTGGCTCTGGAGGACCTGGCCCCCTCTTGCTTCCTGGCCTCTCTAGGAAGGCAGCTCACTTCCCTTTAACACTTGCCAAGCCGAGTCCCTCCAGCTCCTCCTAGAATTCAGGAGTGGGGAGATAGGATGGGATCCCAGGGTCCTCTAGTCCAACCCCCAGCAATGCAGGAATCTCCGCTAAAGCATCCATGGCAGATGGCCGCAGATTAGAAACCTCCAAGGAAGGAAAGTCCACCACCTCCCAAAGGAGACCTTTCCCCTGCCCAACTGCTCTTAGATGTCCCTCAAGGCAGCGGGTCCTGAGTTCTAGCCCTGCTGAAACAATCGCACTGGCTGCCAAGGAGGAACCCAGTGAATTTCAAAATAAATTAATCCTATTCTCATCATAAATGAGTAATATTTTCTTATGCATGCTTTTTATGCTAATATACAAAAGTATGCCATTTCCCTTTCCAGATATGCTTAATTGCTAATTCAATGGACTGAAAATGGATTGTTGTTATTTTTATGTTTAGGGAAGCTTTTAATATTTGATGGACTATTGTATTTTAATATTTTGTTGGAAGCCGCCCAGAATGGCTTGGGAACCAAGCCAGGTTGGCGGGGTATAAATATATTATTATTATTATTATTATTATTATTATTTGATTAGGAGAGTGTTCTCCTTTAGAAAGAGGCAGGTGGAATCTCCAGGGTTGCTAACAGCATAACATTGAAAGGCTAGGGAAATATGGGGAGCCCTAGAGCATCTGCTTGGCATGCAGAATGTCCCAGGGTCAACCCCTGACATCTCCTGCAAGGGCTGGACGAAATCCCTGCCTGAAACTCTGGGGAGCTGCCGCCAGTCAGTGTAGGCCAGGGGTCCTCAAACTATGTCCCGTGGGCCGAATCCAGCCCTCCAGGGTCGTGAATCTGGCCTGCACGGCCATTTCAGTACCCACCAAGTGTCCGAGGCTGAAAGCATCTCGCCACCCGCTCAGTTAGTCCCTGCGCTGCACTCAGGTATAACACCTGTCTTGAAAGACCTACACTGGCTCCCAGTATGTTTCCGAGCACAATTCAAAGTGTTGGTGCTGACCTTGAAAGCACTAAATGGCCTCGGTCCTCTATACCTGAAGGAATGTCTTCACCCCCATCGTTTTGTCTGGACACGGAGGTCCAGTGCTGAGGGCCTTCTGGCGGTTCCCTCATTGCGAGAAGCAAAGCTACAGGGAACCAGGCAGAGGGCCTTCTCGGTAATGGCGCCCGCCCTGTGGAATGCCCTCCCATCAGATGTCAAAGCGATAAACAACTACCTGAGATTCAGACATCTTAAGGCAGCCTTGTTCAGGGAAGTTTTTAATGTGTGACATTTTAGTGTATTTTTAGTGTATTTTTGGTCGTGGAAGCTGCCCAGAGTGGCTGGGGGAACCCAGCCAGATGGACGGGGTACAAATAATAAATTATTATTATTATTATTATTAGGTAAACGCCACCAATGTTGGCGCTGCTTTCCCCCACCGCCAGCCTCAAAGACTAGACTCTCCTGGCTTCAGCGAAAGCAACTCCAAGCCTCCGGAGCGCAAGATTCAGAGGCTTCGGGTTGCTATCGCTGAAGCCAGGGAGCCTGCATTTGCTCCATAGGACGCACACACATTTCCCCTTAATTTTGAGAAGTTGAGAAGAACTGACAGTCTGACGTTTGCTGGAGCCAGAACAAGGCCTCTTTCTAGGAGGGCTAACGCCACATACCTCCCCCCTTAAGAAGATTGACTCAGGAGGGATAACTTAACCTACCGTATTTTTCGCTCTATAACACGCACCTGACCATAAGACGCACGTAGTTTTTAGAGGAGGAAAAGAAGAAGAAAATATTCTAAACGAAACAGTGGGTGTATGATTTTTGTGGTTCATGCTGTGGCCACAGACATGTGATCTGATGGTGAATTTGGGGTGACCCAGTGCAGAAATCCTGAGGATCCATGTGGATCCATGCTTTGTAACCACGTTTTAAGTGGGGAGGGAAGGAAAAGCACTCAAGGGACAAGGAACACGCGTGGGGTGGGTGGGGAAGGAGCTTTTCGGCGAGCTGAGCGGGGAGGGGGGAGGGAAAGAGCACTGTTGCTTTAAAGGTATACTTAAGGTATTTGCCCTGTGCCTGGGGTTTTTTCCATTTAACAGTTTGCCACCTTTTCCTTCCGCTCCTTGTTTTGAGGCAGAATAGATTTGAGCAAGTGAGGAGGACTTGGATTGCAGGGGATTCGCCATTAGCTGTGTGAAAGCGCTCCTCCTTGCAGCCTTCTACTTTGTTTGTACACATGGCTACTGGTATCAGGTTCAGTTTGAGAGATAAGCAGCAACCAGCAGCAATAGAACGGAGCACAAAAAAGGGTTAGGGGCACTAGGACCCAGACAATGCTCAAATCTATCCTGCCTGAAAACAAGCTGCAGAAGTAAAAAGGCACACTCCAGCTCCAGTCCCCAGCTGATCCCCTCTCCTCATCCCGTGCCTTCCTCAGCCTTTTTTTTTACTTCCTGGTTTTCACTGGGCTCGTGGCTCAGAGCTTGAGGTTGGGGTTTTTTTGCTGCTGGTTGCTTAATTTTTTTCCATCCCGATCCAACCCCTCCTGTGCCCTGCCGTCCCTCTGCAGCCTCATTGCTCCGTTTAGAGAGCACACGGACCTTTGCTAGCTGAGGCTGCAGCAGCTGTTGCTGACTACGCAATGCTTTTAAAAGCACCTGCTGGCGTTTAACTGCCTGCCTCCTTCCGGCTTGCTATGGCTCCCGTCTGTCCCTCCTCCCGTGTAAGTGGCTGCTGCCCGCTTTGCTGCCATGGCTCTCCTTCCCTCCCTCCTCTCTGGCTCCTCCGTAGGTTGCTTTAAAGCAAGCAAAGCGAGAGCCGGTGCTTGTTACGGAGCGAAAATTACGGTAGTTATTCTCCTGATCAATCAGCATTACATATCTAATGCAAATAAACATTTACTAACCTGTTATTACACCCTTCACATCCCACATAACATTGGTACATCAATTACTTTGTTCTGGCAAAATATACACTTATTCATAAAACCTGATATATCTTATGTATTCAGTTAACTACAGAAAAATTATAACTGTGCACTCGTTAACTTTCAACCGCAGGTTGGCAAGGCATTCCTTCTCGATGGTCGAAAATGTCTTTCCTTCGGAAGTAATTTCTTGCTTACGAAGGTGATTGGATGCAGGTTGTCCTCTCCCTGCTGAAACAGTACGGCCCCGATCCTGGCATTGGATGCATCAGTGAAGACGGTGAACTCACGATCATAATTAGGAGCAACAAGGACTGGTCCTGACGTCAAGGCGCTTTTTAAGGCATCAAAGGCCTGCTGACACGCTGCTGTCCATTTAACCTTATCTGGCTCCTTCTTCCGAGCTGGGTCAGATAAAGGCGCTGCTAACTCACTAAATTTTGGAATAAATTTTCGATCATAACCGGCTAGTCCTAGGAAAGCTCTGACTTTCTTCTTGGAGGTAGGGGTAGGCCATTTTGAAATGGCTTCTACCTTTGTCTCTAAAGGTTTCATCACTCCTCCTCCCACCATGTGTCCCAGGTATTGAATAATCGAGCCCCCTATCTGACATTTGCTAGCTTTGATGGTTAAGCCCGCCTCTTTAATTCGCTCTAGCACTATCCCTAAGTGCTCTTTGTGTTTACCCCAAGTTGGACTGTACACAGCAATATCGTCTAAATAAGCAACTGTGAACCCTCGTAATCCGTTCAGGATTTTGTCCACCAGTCGCTGAAAAGTGGCTGGCGCATTCTTTAAACTCAAACTGCCCTAAGCGACTTCTAAACACAGTTTTCTCCTGGTTCCTAGGGTCCATTTTTACTTGATAGTATCCCTTTGTTAAGTCTAGGCAGGTGATGTAATGACACTGGCCTATAGCTTCGATCAGGTCATCTAAATGTGGCATTGGATATGCATCTGCTTTAGTGACATGGTTCAGCTTCCTATAATCCAGGCAAAATCTGATAGATCCCTCAGGTTTGTCTAACAACACTTTGGATGCTACCCAGGGGCTTTCCGAAGGGGTTATGATCCCTGCCTTCAACATCTCCCTTACCTCATTGCTAACTTTCCCCACATATTCTCCTGTTATCCTATAGGGGGTTACAGCAATGGGCTCGGCATCCCCGGTGTCGATATGATGTACAACTCCCTTAGCTCTACCTGGAGTATTACTGAAAATTTCCTTATAATCTGGTAGGATCTGTTTAACCTCCACCTGCTGATTAAGGGTTAATGTAGGAGCTATCTTAATTTCTTGTAGATTGCATAATTGCTCCCCTCTCCCTTCCCAGCATGTTCTATCAGCTTCGTCTGGATCTTCACGTATTGCATACACTGTCCAGCCTTCTGGTCTAAGATAAGGCTTTAACATGTTCACACGAACCACCTGACGCCCTTCTTCCCCTTGTTGGATTATGTAATTTACATCACTCATTTTGGACACGATTTTGTATGGTTCCTTCCATGCTAGTTGCATTTTATTTCCTTTGGTTGGCCTCAGTAGCAACACTTCACTATTGGGTTCAAAAGTTCTTACTCTGGCCTTTTTGTCGTACCAGGTTTTCTGCTTTGTTTGGGCTGCCTCAAAACAATTAATTAAATCAGCATCCTCTTTCTGTTCTTGGGCAAAACTAGGTTTTTGGTTTTTTGTAAAAGGAACCAGCAGGGCTTCATTTCTCCCCTCAGAGATCTGTTCCTCAGCTCTGTCTCCTTTGACAACAGTAGCATTCCCCTCAGCATCAGGTGACTGTTGACCCCCCTTGGAGTGAGTAACTACAAAAGAACTCTGTTCATGCTCTAAGAGATCCCATCCGATCAGCACAGTGGTGGGAATCTCCTCAGAAATAGCAACCTGCCACTGTCCTGACCAATCTTGGAACTTAACATGGATCTCTGCAACGGGTAATACCTCAGGCTGCTTTGAAATTCCTTTTAATCGCATAACTTTCCTTGGAATTATTTTGGTGGGACAGATTATCTCTGGGTGGACAATAGTGACTTGTGAGCCTGTATCTTTTAACCCTAGAAATCTCCTCCCTTCAATCCAAATAATTTCCCCAGCGTTTTTCAAAAAAAGATTGTCTTGTTTAATGGCATAGCAATGTGCCACTTTAGCCTCCACCACTTCAGCAGGCTTCGGCCTATCCTGACTAGCTTGGCTCTCCTCAACTGCTTTGATACAATATGGTTTTTTTTTTTGGAGGGCTAATATTGACAGACTTTCCCCCTCCAGCTCTACAATAAAATTTTTTGTGGCCAAATTTTCCACATCCCCACGGGATGCACAGGCGACCGTGGTGCAACAGAAGGCCCTGGTGCAAGACCAGCCCCGGATACTGAGGGCATGACCCTTCGGCCAGTTCCCAGAGTCGTTCCTGGGCCCAAGCGTCGACCCGCTGCTGTTTCCGCACCCGAGCCTGCAGTGGCTCAGCCTCCTGGGTGGCCAGGAATGCAGCCGGTGGTAGGATCGTGGTGGGTACTGCTTGCTGTACCGAGTCTGCGTTGTCTTCAGGTTTCCGGGACAGGGCATCCGCCTTCTGGTTTTGGGAGCTAGGGATGTAGCGGATCCGGAACTGGAACCGGGAAAAGAACAACGCCCACCGGATCTGCCTTTGGTTCAGCTTGCGGGTGGTCTGGAGGTACTCCAGGTTCCGGTGGTCGGTTCTCACCTCCACCGGGAGTCGTGCCCCCTCAAGATGGTGGCGCCAGACCTCAAAGGCCACCTTGATGGCCAGTAGTTCCCACTCCCATACAGTATAGTTACGCTCCGCTGGAAGGAGCTGGCGGGAATAGAAGGCTGATACGGAAGGGGGGGGGCATGTCTTCTTCACCACCTTCTTCGCTACAATATATCCATTTATTTCCAGTTGTCAATGTCAAAAGGGACTAAAATCTATAAAATTCATAGAAAATCAACGTGCCAATTTGCTCAATTTCTCTAGGACTCCATGACACCTCCCCTGTCCTCCATAATCCCTCAAGCAAGGTGTCAAGACCCTAATCCTGTTCCTCCGGGCGATGCCAGGTGACAGACTATGCATACATGGACCATTGTCTTCTCAGGATGTGCTTATCTGCGCATATCTCCAGCTCTGCATATTCCCCCCTCCCTCCTCCATATGTTAATCCGGTGTAACCCAACCTCTTCCTAATGTATTCGTGATGTAATCTGTGTAACCCAACCTCTTCTTAATGTATTCATGATGTAACTGGGATGTATTTTGCACTGTATTCTGGGACATGGAGGGAAATTTCAAAAGTTCATGTCACCCCTTTCTCGCGGTTCAATCTCGTCTTGAACCTGTTGCGCAATAAACTTGGATCTCCTGGAACTTGCTCCCGTCTCCGGCTGAGCTCATTTTCTTCCGCAGGGACCCGCGGACTCAGTCCGACGAGCTGGGTGGCAGAGTAACCCCGCACCCAGATTTTACCGTAACAAGGCGCAGGGTAAGAGTGGCGCATCAGGTCCGTACTGCTGAGGCAAGACGGCAGAGCTTCAGAGAACAGAGAGAAGGCAGCAGATAGCAAAGATCCACAAAATACCAATCTTAGCTCAGAGACAAAAGGAGAGAGGCCAGGAATAGCTAGCCCAAAAACTCAAAGGCGCGAAAAGGTCAGTGAGAGGAGGGGGAAAGAGCGGAAGCAAAAGGGTTTATTCCCCTCTTGGAAGAAGAGGAAGGGGCGGAGTTTAGACTTGGCAACTGCAAACTTGAAGTCAGACACGGAGTGAAGGAGCTCCGGAGTGATTTATGTGTTTGAGCAATAAACCTGAGATAATTACTGCCGGTGTCTTGCTTCTGTGGGAGAGCCAAGCCATTACAAAAAATTATTATTATTACTACAGTGGTACCTGTTCTGGAAAAGCTTAAGTTTGTAAACCGAGGTACCACTGTGTTGTTGTGACGTGGGGTTTGTGATTTCAGCTCTCCTGATATAACATGCTGGAGACAGTTCTCTAGTAACACTTCTTTATTAAAGCAACAAGACTAAAGACTGGGGAGAGGAAAGCTACATTTATAGGGACAGGGAACTAGCAAGAAAGGATACATTTTGGAGGGAACAATATCAGGCAATCACAGTCCTGCCTTTTGGAGGGAACCAATAAGACAGAGGATCCAAATACAGCAGCTTAAATGAACCAATAGTAGCTGTACCCTCTGGAACCAAAAGGCAGTTACTTTACCCTAATGCAAATACAGACAATAATAATACAGATATAAAATCCTTTGACTCAATACACAACACCCCTTCCCCCCTAGTGAGCACAGCAGACGTAATCTCTCAGGTACTGTGGGGGGCCTACAACTTCTACTTGATCTCCTGACAACAGGTGTTGCAGGTTCTGGATTGGGTGTTACCTGTGGTAGAGGGGCTGCTCTAGGGGTTTCGTCAGGAACAGATGGAGTCCCCGACATCTCAGGGTCCCCTATCTGTACCTCGTCATCGTGAGGACTAGCAGACCCTGGTTCATTTGTTAAAGCCCCTGGTGATTGCACCTCTGGGCCATTTTCACTCTGGTCTTGCAGCTCTGCGTCGTTAGCCAGGGATGAATTATCTGGCTCCTCCCTGCTGAGCGCCCGGCGCCTCAGCTGATCTATATGTCTCTTCCACACTTGCCCATTTGCCAAGGTCACATAATAGGACACAGGTCCACTAGCCCGGGTGACCACACCAGCCACCCACCGCGAACCTCGTGAATAGTTCCTCACCCAGACCAGATCTTCAGGGGCGAGATACCTTGTTGTGTCAGTCTCAGCCTGGGGGGTTGCTCTTGAATTATGGTTTGGCATTTTATCCGGGTGGACATAATCCAGCACCGTTACCAGTCTCCTACCCAAGAGCAGCTCAGCTGGCGACTTGCCCGTTGCGGTACACGGCGTCGCATGCTGCAAAAATAACATTCGCGCGATGCGAGCTGACCAGTTACCCTCCATTAAGCGCGCAATGGATTCTTTGGCTGTTCTTACCATGCGCTCAGCCTGCCCATTGGAGGATGGGTGAAAGGGCGCGGATGTGACCCCTCTTATGAAGTTATCAGCCAAGAATGCCCTGAATTCTTGGGATACAAAAGCTGCCCCATTATCTGATACAATGGTCTCAGGTAACCCGTGGGTTGCAAACAGCTGCCTCAACACCTTGATGACGGCAGCTGATGCCATGCTAGGGACCATCGCCACTTCTAACCATTTGGAATATGCATCAACGATAACCAAAAAGACCTTTCCTTGGAATGGCCCAGCAAAATCTAAGTGCAGCCGGCTCCAGGGAGATCTGGACTGCTCCCACCAGTGGACTGGTGCTCTGGCCACTTCTGGCCGCACCTCTTGGCATGCCTTGCATGTTCGTACCCATTGTTCTATGTTCTGGTCCATTCCAGGCCACCACACATAACATCGGGCTAGCGACTTCATCCTGACCATTCCCGGGTGTCCCATGTGAAGCGTCTCAAGAACCCTGTTTCTCAGTGGTGCTGGGATGATCACCCTATCTCCCCACAGGAGACAACCCTTATGCATGGACAACTCGTGCTGCCTAGTCGCATAAGGCCTGAATTTGTCTTCATGCGGACCACCTGGCCACCCCCTCCCCACCCAAGTGAGCACACGGGAGAGAACAGCATCTTTCCTCGTTTTCTCAGCTATATCAGTAGCCGTTACAGGAGCCTCCGGAAGTGTTTCCAGCATCATTATGTGCTCCGCTGGAGCAGGATCCTCAGTGCTCCCGCCAGGAAGGGGCAATCGACTCAGCGCATCCGCGTGGCACAACCGTTTCCCGGCACATGGGTCAAGGTGTACTGGAACCCGTTCAGGAATATAGACCAACGTAACATTCTGGGGGAGAGAATTTGTGGCGTTTGTTTGTTCGGGTTGAACAACCCTAACAGTGGCTTGTGGTCCGTTTCAATGTAGAAATGGCGACCGTACACATAATCATGGAACTTTTGATTCCTGCCACAATTGCAATCGCCTCTTTGTCCATTTGAGCTTAGTTGCGCTCGGTGGTCGCCAACGTCCGGGAATAGAAAGAGATGGGCTTTTCCGACCCATCCGGTTCCCTATGACTTAGCACCGCCCCAGGCCGTATTGAGAGGCATCACATGCCAGGACCAGAGGCTTTGACTCGTCATAATGAGCAAGGACACTCCTGCTACTCAGCATTCCTCGCAAGGAGTCAAAAGCCTTCTGCTGCCCCTGCCCCCATCGCCACACAGTCTTTTTCTGCAACAGTCTATGTAATGGTTCAGCTACCGAAGCTTTCTGGGGTAAGAACGAATGATAAAAGTTAATAAGTCCCAGGAATGACTGCAACTCCGTCTTGTTCTGTGGTCGTGGCGCCTCGATGATGGCCTTAATCTTAGCATCTGTGGGGTGGATGCCTGATGCATCAATTTTAAACCCCAAGAAATCCACAGTTGGCACCCCAAAACTGCATTTTTCCTTTTTCAGTTGCAACCCCACCTCCTTGAACTTGAGCAACACTGCACGAACACGCGCAACCAGTTCCTGTGGGTCTTTTCCAGCAATCAAAACGTCATCACAAAAATGGCAAGACCCCCGGCAGACCTCTTAACAGGTGTTCCATGAGCCCTTGAAAAATCCCTGGGGCCACACAAACTCCAAATTGTAATCTGTTAACTCTGAACGCCCCTTTATGTGTGACAATAGTCTGTGCTTCCGCTGATTGTGGGGTTACTGGCAGCTGTTGGTAAGCTTGTGCCAGGTCAATTTTGGCGAACACCTTGCCCCCAGCCAGTTTAGCCAACAGATGTGATACGACTGGAATGGGGTATGAGTTCCCCTGAGTGCCTTATTGATAGTACATTTGTAATCTGCACAGATCCTGACTTCCCCATTTGCTTTAAGGGGCGTGACGATTGGAGTCTCCCACTTAGCAGAGTCCACGGGTGAGAGAACTCCCTGCTTGACCAATTTATCCAGCTCTGCTTCGATCTTGGGTTGCAGTGCAAATGGCACTCGCCTTGGTTTGAGTCGGATTGGGGCCACCCCAGGGTCCAACTCGAAGTCAACTGGGGGCCCTTTATAACAACCCAGTTTTCCATTAAAGAGACCAGCAAATTCTTTGCATAATGCCTCGCTCATCTCAGGGCAGGTTTGGATTGAATTAAGCCCTGATATACTCAGTCCCAGGGCGGGGAACCAGTCAGTGCCCAGGAGACTGGGGCGACTGCCCTTCGCAATCACCAGTTTGAGTACAGCCTGTTTGTCCCGGAACTGTACTCTCACGGCACACATTCCCATAACATGGATGCGGCCCGCTGAGTATGACTGCAAGGTTGCCGGGAAGGGTTCCAGAGGGGGCAACTTACCCCTGGGGAAGAATGTCCTCGCGGTCTGGTCCGACACGATAGTGAATCCAGATCCGGAGTCCACCTCCATGTCGCACTGCTGACCCTCAATCTTCACCTTGACGTGTGCCTTGCCTTGTGCTGGGAACTGCACGACCCTCCCGTTGATCTCCGTAACGTAGTGGCAGTCCTTTAGAAAATGGGTTGCTGCGGGCGGTCTGCGATGCTCCGGTCTAGGTGCTCCTGTCGCTCCCAACGCCGCCGATCTACAGACCCTGGCGATGTGACCTGTCTTCCCGCACGTCCGGCACATAGCATCCCGGAAACGACAACTCTTCCGCTCATGGTTTCCGCCACAACCTGGGCACCTGCCTCGGTGATCTTTGTGCACTGTGCAGGCCTGACTCACTGACTCGACCCCACGGACTGGGCTCTGGCTCGGAGTAGCCTCTAGCTCGTCCATGGCATGCGCAACTTCTATCTGTGGCTTAGGGGCCTTGCGACTGGCATCAAGCTCCTCTCTTTCATAATTCTCCGTGGCGGTGGCCTCCTTCAAGGCTGAAGCAAGGGTAACCTCTTCTTTAGCCACGATGCGTCTTCTGGCCTTCTTGCTGCTCAGACCACCGATAAACCGATCCAGGAGAGTCTCTTCCAGATTTTGGAAGTCGCAGTGCTGAGCGAGCTTCCGCAGTTCAGCCAGAAATGCAGATACAGACTCCCCAGCATGCTGCTGCCTCTTATGAAACTCCATCCGCCGAGCCATCTTGGTCTCAGTAGGCGCCAAGTGGCTTGTTAGGCAGGCAAGAATATCTTTGAGAGATGTCTCACTTAGCTTCGCTGGAGCAAGCAATGCCTTGGCCAGCTTGAAGGTCTCAGGCCCACAGTAGCTCAGGAATGTGGCCCTTCTTTTGCTGGCATCGGTGATCCCTTGAGCCTCTGCGAAGAACTCGAAGCGTTCGACGTAGTCTTCCCACGTGTCGGGCTCTGATGGCTGGAAGGGCTCCAATACCCTTGGACTCTCCATTGTCCTGTGGCAGGGTCGTCTTCTCAGCTGGCCAGTGAGTCTTGTTCTTAGCTGCAATCCGGACTCTGAGGCAGGGCTGCGTTTAACCGCTCCTCAGCATTCCGGATCCCACCTTCGTCGCCAGTTGTTGTGACGTGGGGTTTGTGATTTCAGCTCTCCTGATATAACATGCTGGAGACAGTTCTCTAGTAACACTTCTTTATTAAAGCAACAAGACTAAAGACTGGGGAGAGGAAAGCTACATTTATAGGGACAGGGAACTAGCAAGAAAGGATACATTTTGGAGGGAACAATATCAGGCAATCACAGTCCTGCCTTTTGGAGGGAACCAATAAGACAGAGGATCCAAATACAGCAGCTTAAATGAACCAATAGTAGCTGTACCCTCTGGAACCAAAAGGCAGTTACTTTACCCTAATGCAAATACAGACAATAATAATACAGATATAAAATCCTTTGACTCAATACACAACATGTATCATCATCATCCTCATCATCCTCATCACTGCTACTACTACCTGAGATTCCATAAGCCTAGCTCTTCTCTGGGATGGATTTTGTTTGGCCCAGTCATGACATCCCCTCCATCTCCAATGTCAGTCCTTGTTATGGCTTGGTCTCCCACAAATGTGAGACGACTCTGGCTGTTAATTATTTCAGATTTATTGCTGAAACAACAAACTTGGACGGAGCTCCTCTACTCATCGTCCTCCCCACAAGATGGAGTTGCTCGGACTGAGCTCCTCCCCCTTCCCCAGCACGGAAGCCTCCACCTTCTCTTCCAGTATCTTTAGAGCGTCTCGACCACTTTTCAGATCCTACGAGATTTGGCAGAGAATGCTTCACTCCTGTAGCTCACTCCTGTAGCTCTCACACAGCTGTCTGTCACTCTGTCTCTCTTTTTCTTCTCCCCTTTGTTCAGAGCTCAGATGACAGTTCCTCTCCCCCTCCTCTCTGCCTTCCGCTGCTAACTCTCCTCTCCCTAGGCCTGCTTCTTCTCTGGCTGGCAGCACCTGAGCTTCGCTGCCAGTCCTCTCTTTGGTCAACCCAAGACTGACAGGAGCAAAAACAAAAACCTGAAGCTACTTAGCTTACCTAACAATTCTGAAGCTGACATTGAAGATGGCCTAGGAAGTTCAGACCAGCCCAATCTAGTGGGATGCGTCCAAGGGAAACGGGGGCATTTGGCAGGCTCCCAGCTGGCTCCAGCCCACCGGCCGGTAACCGGGCAAACTCCGGTCCGCGGAACAGCATCAAACAGCGACCCGCAGCTTCAGAACTCTTCAGAAGCTGGAGCACCCTCTAATCAGCAGAGTAATGAACTCTGCGACAGAAGGGTGGACAGAGGCATATGTAAAGCATATTTACAAGCAGTTTATTCAGCATAGATCAAGACAAAGAAAAACATGTCTGCTTTCCTTCATGTCTAAGAGCAGGAAGCATGAGGCAAAAGCTATACACAAACGGAAGTTCCCAGCAAGCTGTGCTGGAATGTAAACAGAAATGTGACAGACGATAGCTCCACACATCTGTTTAGGTGGAACAGAACATCAATAGCCTAACACAATCATGGTAGAAAAAAGAATAATTTTTT